AGTAATATATTAATTAACCAATATATTATACTGTTCATTTGTTTCCCAAAGTGTAGCGTACCATATTTATTGGCAGGCCAGATATTCTTAATCTCCAAGTATTCAGTAGCTGAGCTATGAAAAAAACACTGAGAAAAGCATTTGAAGGAGAAATGGGACACACACATCTACTATTTCTCTTCTGCCACTCTCTCCTCTCAGCTGAGGGTTCATTTATGACTTTTTATAAACTTGATAATATTCCTCTTTCCAGTTCCCCAAAAAGGAACAAAATGAAATTCATTTAAAACAAAAGAAAGCAATATCAATTTCTCAGTCAAAAACATAACATTGTCAAAGGCCTAGAGAAGCAAGACCCCATTGCTTATCTAAAAACCATCTCTGGATCTGCTCCAGGAAGGAGATGCAAAGATGTAAAACCAAAACCAAGACTCCCCTGACTTCCTTAGATCACAGCTGATCATTCCTCTATGAATGTCAAGGAATTCTGGTGGTGGATAGAGTTGTATGTGAGGAGCCAGTCTTTCTAAAAACCTCTTCCCCAACAGTTTAGGGAGCTTTCTCTGTCAAAGGCTGAAAAATTACTTTGCAGTCTAAAGCTTGGAGGATAGAGATGTGTGGAATACAGACAACCTGACATTGTTTAAATGAGTAGATGTATACATACATGCATACCCCTCATGCTGTAATCTTTTGGGGTAAGCAACATTAGGCTAAACTAAGAAAATGCATAAGAAATAGTAAGCAAAGAAAATAAAAAGCATGAGATTAGAAAAAGAAATATAGGTAAAAACTAGTTTACACCAATGCCATTCACTATAGCCCTCCCTACCTTTCTATTCTTGCAGGCCATCTTGCTTCCACTATGTCCATGCACCGCTTCATACATTACCTTTTGTTCCTTAAACTTCTTACCTCTCTCTCCATCCAGCCACAAAGTTCTCAGTCTTCCTCTTCCTCTGGTCCCATTCACTCTTCCTTCATATATTTCTTTTACACTGATCAATTACTCTTGTATTGAATCTACAGTCCACACCCATTCATTCTTGACTCTACTTTTTGTGTTTTTGGTCACCCACACCATGCTTATCTATAATGTTCCCACTGCATTCAACTTAACTGTTTCTCCTGACATATCCAACTCTCAATTTCATATAAAAAGTGGGCAGAAAGTTGCTGTTATATGTATCAATTTTTCCTTCCTTCCTTGAACCAGGCCCCATATATTACATGCTACCTTTCTATTATCATTTACATATCTTAACATTTCTCCACTGCTTTCTCCATGTTAAGTAAACTTCTACCATGATACCCAAAATGCTTGCCTTTTTTTTTTGTTTTGCCCTTTTTTCTTTAGCTTGTAATTTCTATTTGCAGAGTTGGGTTTCTTTTACAACCCAAAATTGAATTGCCCAGATTCTGAATGCATTAATTTGAAAACAAACATACTTTTAAGTAATACTGTACCATGAAAATTGCCATATAGCCACTGAAAATCATTTGGGGAACTTCAGAGAACCCAGAAACAGATCTGGGGGTGCATGAGATGCAGGCTTGGTTACGGCTTTATAGGTTTAATAAAGTGATGTGCTTCAAAAAGCAAATATGATAAATTACAATTGGAATCATTTCAAGGTTCTGTTCAAGAGTAGTCCCCATACAGATCATATTTAAACCTACTAAGTAGAGAAAACTTTCTGGGGAAACACATCATTGTATAGTTGAAAAAAACAGTGGATAGGAGAGGAGTAATGCAGCCCTACTCCCATAGGCTCTTGCATATGAGGTTGGGACTCCTGGGTCTTTGCCAAATGTAATATCCAGATTTTAGGGGAACAAGTTCCATTCTGAATTAGCTAACAGAGTTGATGTAGGCTGATGTAGGTTTTCCCAGAAAAAGTGGGTCTTGCCACAGTAGTTATAAATCTGAGTAGACACCAAAACTCTGGAGTAGACTCAGACATAAATCTCTGGAGAATGGCAGTGTCATAACTCAGTTAAGAGGTCAGAGAAGTCTTACATTAGGAGAGTTTTTGATTTCCTACAGTGCCTGGGTTTGTACATGAACACCAGAGAGGTGAGATGGCAGTATAATTTAAACTTTAAACCTTAAATACAATGCTCCTGATTGTTTGTTTTTAAGTGCATTACCCAGAGCAGACTTTAGTCACCTGATGAGCCCTTTTGATACACTGGAATTTCACAAGATTTACAAAGGTAAGTAGAAATGATCCTGGATTTTGTTTTGTTGGGGAATCTGAACAGAAATTGTGTATCAAAATATAATTTTCTAGTATAACATAACACAGTGTTTCTTAAACTTTTTGCTCTCAGGATCCCTTTGTCCTTTATGGAGGACCCCAAAAGAACTTTTGTTTGTAGGGGTTATATTTATTGATATTTACCATATTAAAAATTAAAATGGAATTTTTAGAATATTTATAGAATGTTTATTGAATCATGTTTTTAATTATTATATAGTGTTTTTAGGCAGTTTGTTTTATATATTTATTGGCTTGATGTATGCCACCCTGAGTCACTTTCTGTGAGATGGACGGCCATATAAATTTGATTAATAAATAATAAACAAATAAATATTAAACCCATTAGACTAAATAAAACATTTTTTTCATGAAAAAACCCTATACTTTTTTAACAAATAAATAATAATAATAATAATGAGAAGAGTGACATTGTTTTACATTTTTGCAAATATCTTCAATACCTGGCAAATAATTTTGGTTTTGCAGACCCCTGAGAGGTTCTTGGGGGACTCCCAGAGGTCCTCGGACCACACTTTAAGAAACACTGGTGTAACTGATAGGAGGAAAAGGTCTGAATAAGAATTTCTCATTTTGCCTTAGCTATAATGTTACTATGTCACTTTAAGCTGATCTTTCCCCAGCCTGGTTCCTCCCAGATGTGCAGGGACATCAACTCTTAGAATTCCCAGCCAGCATGATCTCTAGCAACAAATCCTGGCAACTGCACTCATAGAATATCAGGCACTGAAAGATATGTCATAGAGAAGTCATTGCCTCCCACCTCTGACTATCTTGTATTCACAATACTGAGATCATAATGTTGATGCTCCATATAAGGTTGCTTTTGAAAAAGGGTTAATCAGCTGTTGGTACTATACAGTATATATTTGTACTCTTAAAATATAACATTAAACACAAAGGTGTGCAACTTTTAAAGGCAGTGGATGCATTTAGCTTTTGATTAACATGTTGGGATCTACATGATCAAAAGCTGACAGGGTCAGGCTAAAACATTGGGCGATGCCAAGACAAAAGCTAAATGTAATTTAACATACCAGTTACACTATTCACTTTTGGGGTGAGAAATTCACATCCATATTTTAATATTTCTCCAGTTACATAGTCTAGTCCTGCAGCATTATTGTTCAAAGTTCTCATAACATTTATGATTTTTTTCCCACTATTTTATTTTCTTGGACACTAACTTCTATAACATTCATTTCAATGTGATTCTTCAATGTATTATTATTATTCTTATCTCCAAAATAATTCTTCCAGCTTTCCACATTTAAACTTCATTTCAGATAACTTCATCACCTTTTTCTTAATTCCATTCTTTCTCCTTTTTTAGTTCTCCCACTTTGCAAACAATTTTTAATATCCATCAAAATCACTCAGCATTCTTTCTCCTTCTTGCAATCTTAATCTTTGACTACACTATATTTTTTGGTTTATATTTTTACACAGTACCTTTATCTTGCCCTCATTTTTGCAGCCTTACTAGCATTTTTTCTCATCCAAGTCTCTCATTTTATTATTCCACCAAGCACATTTCTTTTTCCCATTACTGTAATTTCCCACACTTCTTTGGTATTTTATAGCATTACTGTTTTCACTCTGTTCCAAGCATTTTCTACATCTTCTTTTCTTACATCTACTTTCCATTTATCCTATTGGGAGATTCATCCATCTTCTAATACTATTTCAAATTTGTTGTGGGCTTTCTCTTCATACAGTCATACTATTCTCATGGAAGTTTCTTTCATATGTCTCCTTTTACTGCATTTTCTTTTTTACCCAATATGTAGTATTTACAGTATCAAAAAATGGTTTGTTTCACATGCAGAACCTCTCATCACCCTTGTAGTCTTCATTGGTCATACTTTAAGTTTAGATTCCTTTCTTGTGTGTATTCATTGATAAACTTATGCTTAAAATCATCTTTTAAAACAAATAGACCTTTATTCTAAGCAAATGCTTAGAATTCTCATTAATTCTTGGGTCTTCAAATAAACCAATCAT